AAAAAAAATAAAAGAAAATGATGAAAATGTCAAAAAAAATAAAAGAAAATAAGTTTCCCATGTGATATGTGGTCTAGTTGTTGGGAAAATTTGCAAATATGAATTTCGACTTTATTTGCAAAATCTCTCGAGAATTTGTAAAAATGGGCATAACTTTTGCATACTAACTCGGATGAAAAAGTATTTTATATGAAAAATCATCTACTCAAAAAGTTGCATCCACATTTAATGGGGGAAACCCCGTTAAACATTTTCAAAAACCTCAAAAACCTAACAGAAAAAAAGTTACGGGCCTTTTTAGATCTAGAGTGGAAAAAATCGAAAAAAATTCAAACTGTGGTCAAACAATGGTCAAACTAATTATTCTACAATATTAGTGTTACTAAATAATTATTTCAGCTATTTTGAATTTTGGTCAAAGAATGGTCAAACAATGATCAAACAATGGTCAAACTAATTATTCAAGAAATATTAGTGTTACTAAATAATTATTGTTTTTTAAAACAATAGTTTCAAACTCAAACAATGAAATGTGTCACTTCATGGTCAAGCAAAATTCCTGAAGGTTAATAGGATTGACATCTTACTATTGTCAGGAAAACAACAAGTGCAGACATGGAAACGAGGGAGAATAGAACCCGGAAGTTAAGCGTGCTCAGGCTGGGGGAGTGGGAGGATGGGTGACCGTTCGGGAAGTTAGATGATTTGGAATGATGAGGGGTGATTAGAGATTAGAGGATAAATTGAGCAGTGATGAGGGATGGTGATTAGAGATTAGAGGTTAAAATAATTCAGAAATTTAAAAATAAAAAAAATTCAAAAAAAAATAAAAAAAAATCGTAAAATTTCCTTTAGTCCCGGTTGGTATTACCAACCGGGACTAAAAGTGAAGCTCCACGTGGCCGCGGCCTTTAGTTCCGGTTCGTTTAAGAACCGGGACTAAAGGGGAGAGGCATTAGTATTGACCCTTTAGTCCCGGTTCAAAAACCGGGACTAAAGGGCCTTACCAACCGGGACAAAAGCCCATTTATCTACTAGTGAGTTGTCACGAATTACCACAGGCGAGTTGCCTTTAGAAATCTTGTGCGAAACTTTCAAATCATCACACATGATTATTCATATAATTAAGACATCATGTGCATTGCTCCAAGTCGTCGCAAATAATTCATCTTTGTAAACTGTTTGCCAATCAACGAACATGTTTACAAAATTTCAACCGTGCGCGTTATGACTATATATCGCACACACATCATTATACCTTACTGTGTGCCCATTATCACACATGGTTTTCATCTCAAAATCATGCCCGGTGGATGGGCCGTCGCACACATTTCGTTTTCTAGCACACAAGTTCATTTTTCTACCGTTTGTGATGCCTGCATTGCACATAGTAAGGTCCAAGGGTATGCGATAGATGCGTCGACTTAGGCCCATTCTGCAGTACTGGATGCTGGGGAAATATATGGCATTTGGTCTTTTCGCCATAAAAAAATAAGAGTACAAAAGGCTAACAAAACCAGATCGTAATAAGATTTAGTTTAGCTACACATCAGTCAGCTGATTTTTGAAATCAGGGTCAGTCGATTTTTGAGTGAAGGAAGGAGAAGGAAGGCCCTCGCCGAAGAGAAGGAATGGGCTCGCCGTCATCACCCAAGTATCTATTTTAGGGTTCAGGGTGGGGACGGTGGTCGGGCGGCGGTGTGGGGCTTCGCCGAAGAAAAAACTCGGCGCGGGGGGCCTAGAGGAATGGCCGGGGTCAGTGGGGATGGTTCCAGGGAAGGCGGGGCTGCGAGGCTATGCGGGGGAGCCGCTGGCCGCGGGCGGCGGCAGCGGGGCCGGCGGTTAGGCCGGTGGTGGCTGACAGCTCAAGGAAGAAGATGCGCCGAGAGGTTGAAAAAAAAAACCGTGGGCCGTTGATTTCGCGTCCAACGTTTCGCAAAATCGACTGACCCCATTTTTTTCATCTGACCGATGTCTAGCCACGACCAATAAGATTAGATGATGCCCTCAAGCTTCAATAATCCTATTATTACTAGAGTGCATCCATATATATCGCCTGAACATAGCTCATGCTACCATCGTCAAGTTGTAGGTAGGTAGGACCACATACAGATCCGACTGGCGGCTTTGAAGATAACATAGAAGCTTTTCGGAAATTTTGTCTGATTAAAATCAAAATTTTAGTTTTACTTACGTTTGTAATTCTAGAGAATATGTCTTACTGCGTTATTTTTAGTCACGCGATTCCTCTGATAATTACTCCCTCCGTCTCAAAATAAATGTCTTAACTTTGTACTAACTTAAATATAAACTTATACTAAGGTTGAGACACTTATTTTAGGATGGAGAAAATATACTGGTTCCTGACTTTGGTTCAAAGGCAAATATACGTTGCCGAGACTACTTAATGTGCTGAAGCGCTTTAAATAAGACTTAGAGCATCTCCAACAGGCGCTCGAAAACTGCTTCGCATGCTAAAATTCAGGTTTTTTGGATGCCGAACAGCTCCAGCAAAAGCTGTAAAATACTGCGCGCGCAAAAAAAGATTTAGGCTAGAAAGCGCTATCGCGTGCTGTAAATTTGGGGTGCCGAATCGTGCGTGTTGCACTGTGTGTTCTTTGGGCGCGTGTTTTTGGGCATTTGAAAAACCGATGTTGGATCCGGTGCACCCAAAATGCTACAGTGACGCGCTAAAACTATTTTAGCACGCAAAGCTTTTGTGCGCCTGTTGGAGATGCTCTTATGTGCCCACTTGGCCACTCCGATAACTCGGGCTTCTCTATATATATCCACACCCTTCTCGTCGGAGCTGCTCCCGTGTACGCCTCCGCACTCGTTCATATCCATACATGCAAATTAGCTTGGCAACAATGGCATTGACTCTGTCGCCTGAATTGCTCGTCTGCACCTCTGCCCTCCTCCTACTTTTAGCCTTCTGCATGTACACCAAGCCTAGGAGATCAAAGCATCCATTGCAACCGACGGATTGGCCAATACTTGGCATCCTCCCTTCACTCATCCTCAACCTACACAGGTTCCACGATTACATCGCCGAAGTCCTCCCCTCCTATGAGCATAACCTCAAGTCGTGCTTAACTAGCATGCGCTTCTTGATCACTTGTGACCCGACCAATGTCCGGCACGTTTTCACCTCAAACCACACAAACTACCTCAAGGGCAAGGAGTTCTCGGAGATGTTCGACGTTACAGACGGCAGCTTCTTCACCGTCGACGGCGAGCCATGCCGCCGGCAGCGCGCTAGGATTCAGAGCATATTCAGCAGCCCGCGGCTGCTCGCCTTGATGGCCGACTGCTGCCGTGACAAGGTGGAGAAGGGCGTTACCCCGTTCCTGGCACGTATGGTGACGGGGCCCCGTTTGACATGCATGATTTGATCACGAGGTTCGCGTTCGACGTGACCGCCACGCCCATCTTCGGCGTGGACCCTGGTCTCCTCTCAACCGGCGGCCATAACATGCCACTACAACCCACGCATGCCACCGTCGCCATGGATACCGTCATGGAGATGGCACTGCTCCGCCACGTCCTGCCAGTGTGCTGCTGGAAAGCGATGAGGTGGCTAAACATTGGCCCAGAGAGAAAGCTCGCCGTGGCGCATAAAGTGCTTCGTGGGTTTATAGCAGAGATGATGGAGAGGAGCAAGCTGATGACAAGCAGCCATACTGGTGATCAGGAGGGTCCTGTTGGCCCCGTAGACAATATTATGTCTACATACATCAACTATCCAGAATACAACGATGGCCTGCTCTGCGCGACGCTCATCAACTTCATGATCGCTGGGAGGGACACCATCGGCACGGCGTTGCTATGGCTCTTCTACAGCCTCGCCCAGAACCCTGACGTCGTGTCCTGTATCCGGAAAGAATTGTTCCCTATTGCCTCGGGCAAAGCAGCACACGCCAGCACCATGGTTATATTTGAGCCCGAGGAGACCAAAGCCCTTATCTACTTGCACGCCACTTTGTTCGAGTCTCTCAGGCTGTTCCCTCCGATCCCCATCGAGCGCAAGACGGTGATCGCTGACGATGTGATGCCGAGCGGCCACGGGGTGTGTGCTGGTGACACCATCCTCGTCTCCCTCTACTCCATGGGGAGAATGGAGCAGGTGTGGGGGCAGGACTGCCGGGAGTACAAGCCGGAGAGGTGGCTCTCTGGAAACGGCAGCGAGCTACGGTATGTGCCATCTCACAAGTTCTTGGCGTTTAACTCGGGGCCTAGGATGTGCCTCGGAAAGGACATCGCCATCATGCAGATGAAGACTGTCGTTGCTGCCATCGTGTGGAACTTCGACCTGGAGGTGTTGGAAGGGCATTCTGTCCAACCCAAGTTTTCTTGTATTCTGCAGATGAAACATGGGCTTATGGTGAAAGTGAAGAAGCGAGAAATGTAGTGCGGTGCTGCTAGGGTCCATGCCGTGGAAGTGGAACGCAGCGTTTTAGTTTCCGGGCAACAGCGAGCTTTTTATCATCATGGCAGTACAGTCTAGTCTTGGGATTCACAAACTTCAGAATCCACACTATCTAAACCATACTATATGCATTAGTATTTAAATATGTGTGTTTAGATACAACTCATGTACGTAATGGATTGTATCCTATTGTTGTACTATTTAGAAAGGATTCTCATCTAATTAATGGGTTATGTGAGGGAAAAAGTATGAATTGTCTTGCGTTTTATGCTACTACCTCCTTCCATCTATATAGGGCCTAATGCGTTTTTTGAGACTAACTTTGACCAAATGTTAGAGCAATAATATATGACATGCAACTTAAACAAAGCACGCCGTCAAATTCGTAAGTGAAAGGAGCTTTCAATGATATAATTTTCACATTATGCATGTCATGTACTATTAATCTTGTCAATAGTCAAGAGCGGTCTTGAAAAACGCATTAGGCCTTATATAGATGGAAGGAGGGAGTAGCCTTGGGAGTTGGGAGTATATCTAACGATGCCACGCGCATTGCCGCAGGAACCTTCCTAAGAGCAATTCTAGCAAATCCCGCAAAACGACTTGGCTATAAAATAACCTTTGTTTTATGGTTTCAGGGCAAAAAGAAAAAACACCGACCCGAACAGATATCGTATATCTGGAAGAATAGGATTTTATTTTTATATCTCCCCGCAAATGAAACCCCAAATCCATTATATATTCGGGGTTTGAAACCTTTCTTCCGGTTCCCCTCATCCCACGAGGCAGTTGGCGAGGAAAGTTACAGTCAGACTGTGACCGAACCGGCGTCAAACTCGCCAGAATCCGGCCAAATTGCGCCACCGCGCTACAGTTTCGGTCAATTCCCCGCTGCTTTCCAGCGACCACGTCGGTTCCGACCACTGCGCCACTGTTCTTTAGGCCCTGTGATGCCCCCCGAGGGAGCTGCTCTCCAGGCCGTGCGATGTCGTCGTCA